ATGCTTGTTTTAAAATTAGAACCCTGGGAAAGAATTACAATAAATTAGTTACGTTTAAGACCATGTATTCTAATAATTTCGTTAATTTTATATATGTATCAAACTTTAGCTTCCCAGAGTAAACACTACACTTTCACAAGTTTTAAAATATTATTTTTTCCAATAAATTCTAAGTGAAAGTATACGTAGTACCTAACCTGGCTTTAAAAAAATGTGTGGTCAACTGTGCTTTTATTAATTGGAGAAGAAAGCAGATATAATACATGTAAAATTTTAGGAAAAAAGTTTACATCAAATAGTTTTTAGGGCTGATCATGAGATTTTCATCTGTGATCCTATAAGGTACCAATTACATATTCTTTTTCTTATTTTGTAAACATTTCTTTGCCTTTATATCCAGAAGCATATTGATAAAGGTTTATGGCAAGTAGACAACAGATACATGATGAACTAGATTAGATACTAAAAACAGACTACATTTGGTTTGGCTTAAAATTTACTGAGTTGAGAAACAATTTGTTAAAGTCAGACTGGGAATTTTTAAGGCAGAGACATACTTTGATTATAGACATTCACCTTAGTAGCAGTGTGATTCTACTTTTCTCATTGTTTGCAAAGCTTGCTTAGTGTAACAGATAAGACAGATGTATTCAGAAAAGAGCCTCAAAAAGCGATTCTGTACCTATTTTGTAAATATGCTCAATCTGTACTTGTCAGTATGTTATATGTTATGTTTTACATATTATATGGAATGAAGGATACATTGTGTTGTTAAAAAAAAATACCAAACGCACAAACTAAAGAATATTTCAGGTCCTGTAATTATGGAGGAAGATAAAATTTTGTGTATAGTTTTACTCCTCTTTGATTTTCATGTTAAAAAATTTGAAACCCTTCATAAAAATATGTGGTAGCAATTAAGTTGGTCTTTTTAGCTGGGTTCTGAAATCAACTTTTACAATTAAGGTAATCAGAAACCTATTATACTTTGTATAGAATGATTTGATTTTCTAGCAAAGAATAGGAAAAAAAATCAGCTAAATAAATAAATGAATTTCCTGGGAAGGAAGAAGACATTTTTTGCATGTACGTTTTTCTGCCTTTTAAAAAAGGTATTTTTAAATTGTAAAAGTGAAACCCATTAGGAAACATTCACCTGGGTTTAATTGTGAGTTTTATGTTAAAATTCTATTAATTTTCAGTTTAAGAAATAGATAAAGTATATTTTAAATTTATCAAAATAATTGAGTATCTCTTACCATTTTAATTATAACTGCATATACCATGTGCCTAGCACATTGCTAAATACTTTAGATGTTTATCTCACTTTAATTCTCTGAAATAACTTTATGAGGTGGGCAACAATATCCCCATTTTGTACATGAGGTACCTACATCCCAGGTCATATAGCTATTAAGTGGAAGAATTAGGATTAGAATTTAGCTCTGTCCAGCTTTGAAACACATACTTTTAATTTATTCATATGGCATTTTGTTAACATCTGTCAGGCTGTCCTTGCAGCTTTGAATCTATAGTTGTCTTAAAAATTACTTTCTGTAACACATTTTTAATATATTTAAATGATCCTGAATACCTATGCTTCAAGAATAATTTTAAGATGGTAATCCAGTAAGTAATTACTTACTTAAAGTTTACATATACCATTAAGTTTATACGCTCGCTGCATGGTGGTTCATGCCTAAAATCATGGCACCTTGGGATGCCAGTTGTGGGGAAGATTGCTTGAGGCCTAGAGTTCAAAAACAGCCTGAACAAGAGCAAGACCCCAGCTCTACAAAACAGAAAAATTAGCTGGGTGTTGTGGTGCTTGCCTGTAGTCCCAGCTACTCAGGAGACAGAGACAGAAGGATCACTTGAGCCCAGCAGTTTGAAATAACAGTGAGCTAGGATCACACTATGATACTCCAGCTTGGGAGACAGAGCAAGACCCTATCTCAAAACGAACAAACAAACAAACACAAACAGCAAAACAATTTATGGTACTTAAGGAATAGAAGAATATTATGAAAGACAAAATAAGACTTTTTTGGTCTTGATTTACCATAACTGTTTTGTGGTTTTGGTTTCCTTTCTTTATGTAGATTTCTACGGAAAGCCACTGCCTCCCCTGGCTGTGCGTCAGAGACCCAACAGTGATGCTCACGATGTGATCTCATAGCCACATCATGTCGATAAGCTCTCTTACTATCAGCAAGGTGAACTGGGACATTCTTTTTTCTCAAAAGAAGAAAAACCCTGAACATTGATGACTGAGGCAAGATAAGCATAGCAATTTTCAGAGGACATTAATAGTTAAGTATCTCACTTGATAATTACTTATCCATGTTCTTTATAGTTAAAAAAGAAAGCCAGCAAAATGATCAGTAGATGGGATGAGCATTTGGACCAAGTTAGAAAGATTTAGTGCTGACTCTCTGATGTACACATCCCCACTCATGAACATGTTCTTGAAGGCAGACTTCAGAGAAAGAGCCAATGGACTCTGCACATTTTCTTCACCATTTGTTTTAATAATCTGTATTTCTATATATTAAACTTTTTTTTTTTTTTTGTAAAATACATGCACATAGAAGGGGAACTTCTGGGGATTTATAACCTAAATTTTTTAACTATTTTTATATTTTTCTAAAACTTTTGAGAATTTTATTTACTATGATATTGATTGTGCACTTTTCTATCGATGCTTTGTTTAAATTGTATCTGGAAAATACAGTTGATTCATTTGATGGCTGTGAACTATACAAATAGGATGTACACGTATGGCTTGAGATATGTTTTGTAATAACATTGTTCTTGAAGCATATGCCCTAAGTTGTCCTAATTTAATACCTTTTTTAAAACAGTAGATTCTCAGATCTTTATTCTACCAAATTACGCGATTTGAAAGGGGTATCAAGGAGAAGGTTCATTGTTATTTGTTTTCTTTGGTGATGACCTCGATAAATGAAAGAGACTTTTGAAATACCATTTTTACCTAAATGTTTTTTAAATTAATCAAAATATATTCTATGGCAGTGGTTCTCAACCTGTAGGTTGCAACCCAAATGACCCTTTCACAGGGGTAGCCTAATATCAGATATTTACACTACGATTCATAACAGTGGCAAAAATTACAGTTATGAATTAGCAACAAAAATAATTTTATGGTGGGGGGTCACCACAACATGAGGAACTATATTAAAGGGTCACGGCATTAGGAGGTTGAGAACCACTGTTCTATGGAACATTATTTAAAGTCTCAGTAAGCCCTTATTTTAAAGGAGACACTTTCAGAGAGTAAGGGGCTCCCTATTACACCATTGTTCTGTCAGAAGCTTCAGTGTCTCTTTTATTCTATTTCTTTTCTGCCGTGAAATTAAAGGACAAAAGACTGAAAAATCTACTGTAGGTCCAGAGACTTGTGTTTTGCAACTGGGCAATAGCATGGGTACTAAAGCAATAAGAATAAAAATGTTGGTTCAAAATCACTTTTGTAAAAACAAAATTCCAAAATAATTTCTCAATTTAAGAAGGTAACACTTCTCTTGCACATAAGAATGGCATCCATGGGATTGTCTATTCATTTGGCGTTTAGACAAACTTTTAGATTTATATTTGGAGTAATACATTCATAATGTTTCATTTAATTGAAAACATCTTTTTATCAAGGTAGAAATATTATAAATAGAAAAATTTCTATATCACCTTGTTAAGATTGGTGCTTTTGGTAATTTGTCCTGACAATAGGCATATATTGGTATTTGAAAATAATATTAAGAGGTATATTTAATGTAGTTTGATATGATTATTTACTTTTAAAATTTTATTTCAGAGCATTATATTCACATTTTTTAACTTACTAAACTTTCATTAATTAATCAGGTCACTTATTCCTCTAGTCAGCATCATATAATTTGTTGGAGTTTGTACATGGGACCTACTTACCACACAGAGAGAGTAAAAAGCATTCGACTTCAGATCTAAAATTCACAACAACTTAAATTTGATAGGCGGCTGAAATATGGTGGAAAGCAACACAAGAAGACAGCATATATTTTGAAATGGATTATGGTGGGAAAATTGCACAACTTTTTTGCTCCTTTTTTAACATTTGACATTTATTCAGTTTCTAAACAAAACTCCTATTTTTGCCATATTTTTAATATTTAGTGTAAGAGTATACATGTTTTTAAAACATTTGTTTCCTATCAGTGTTTATTGTAGTGTATTTACTGATTTCATTTAATAAAAACAAATAAAAATGATTTGAAATTAAATATAAGATGGAATTAGCATTTTATATAACTCTCTCACAAAATTAACTTGTATCCTTAAAGCGTTCTAAAATACTTTAAAAGATGTTCTGTAAATCCAGGTGGGTCTTAACAATTACATGCCTATTTTGTTATATGCTACATTTTTATTCTCAATCATCATGAATTATGACATTTTTACACAATGCAAATAATTTATGTCAGTATTTCATTTTTCCTATCATTTGGTGCATTGAAAAGATTTGCTGGGGCAATGAAATAAGCAGACAACTCCATTTATAAGTGAATAAGGGCCTTGAACAGAAACTTTGCAGAGGAATGAACAAACACATGAAAAAAATGCTCACCGTCCCTAATCATCAGAGACATGCAAATCAAAACCACTCTGAGATATCACTTAACTCCAGTAATATTAGCCTAAATCACAAAATTATGAATCTTCAGATGCTGGTATGGACGTGGAGAGAAGGGAACACTTCTACTCTGCTATTGGGGTTGCAAACTAATATAACCTCCATGAAAAGAAGTATGGAGAATTCTCAAAGAATTAAAAGTCAACCTTCCATTTGATCCTGCAATCCCATTACACAGAAGAAAAAAAAAATCATTTTACTACAAGGACATTTGCACCTGAATATATATTGCAGCTCAATTCACAATTGCCAAAATGTGGAATAAACCCAAATGCCCCTAAACCCAAGAATGGATTAACAAACCATGGTATATGCATACCATGGAGTACTATTTAGCCATAAGAACAGATGGAGACTTTATATCTTTTGTGTTTACCTGGATGGAGTATCATTCTTTTAGTAAAGTATCACAAGAATGAGGAAAAAAGTAAGTACCCAATGCACTCAATACCAATATGAAACCAATATATAAACAACTACATGCCCACAAAAAAGAAAAACACAAGTATAGTAGGGGGGGTAATTGGTGGGACCTCACCTAATATGTACAATGTGAGGGTGTTCAGCAAGCCCCCTAGGTGAAGAGCTCAACTACAACTTGAACTTGACCTTAGAAATGAAGACAATGTAACCTAAACATTTGTATGGCTAAATAAATCTGAAATAAAAATAATAATAAAATAGGTAAGTAAGCTTTCAAATGATTTTTGATAATCAATTTAAGTCTGTAGATTAAAGCAATGCATTTTTTGCTATTTTACATGAAAAACTTTTTTCTTCATGCAGTTTTTATTTAGCAAAGAATATTGTGATTTTTAAGCACAACTAAAAATAGCATTGTAGATTCTAGATTATTTGATGTCTTTTATTAAAGTTATTGGTCAACAGATATTTTTATTTATCTAAAAGGTAATCATTTTACATATATACCTTTATTTATAAAATGCATATACATACATAGAGGGTGTCCACAAAGTTCATGTGCAATTTAAAATAGTTGGCTAATTTAAACTACGTGTATTTTATGGATACCCTGTATATACAATATTGTATGCAACTGATATCAAGTATAATACTATGCATAGAAACAATGCTGGAAATATTGCTAAATGCTAGTAGTGACCTTTTTAGAGTTACTCATTGTATGTTTTCAACTTTTCAAACTTTTTGTAAAATTTGGTTTACTTATATAGTGGTGGAAGCAAATTTATAATTTTGTATAAGTCATTTAAGTGCCATATTTTTTTGCAAGTTTAACATTAAGTGCTCTTTTAAATGCCAAATGAAAGTCTAGAATTCTCTTAATTTTTAAAACCTGAAACCTGTGAGCAGCTCAGGCTGATACTGGATTTTTAACACTGGATTTCCAGGCTCTTGGTCTCGACGATTCGATGAATGAATTGACAGACCATAGAATGAAGAGTGAGGTTTTATTTACAGCTCAAAGAACCAAACCTCCTTGCAGGGCAGGATACAAGTGTTACAACTCTTATGAAAACAACTCTTACAAAGAGCCAAGCCTCTTTGTAGAGCAGGATACATGTGCTACAGCTCTTACAAAGGACCAAGCCTCTTTGTAGGGCAGGATCAGCAACAGAAGTGTTACAGCTACAGCTCTTACAAAGGACCAAGCCTCTTTGCAGGGCAGAGCTCAGCAAAGGGTCAAGCCTCTTTGTAGAGCAGGATCAGCAGTAGAAGTGTTACAACTTCTACAAAGAGCCAAGCCTCTTTGTAGAGCAGGATCAGCACTAGAAGTGCCATAGCTCTCACTTCTTCTGGACAGTCTGCGATGGTCTGCTGAAGTATTGTTCTTCTGCTCTATCTTCCTTGAAGGTCTGTGAGGATGTGCCCACAGGCTCTCTGCTCAGGGTCTTATATAGGTGTAATAGCTTAGCTATTTTATGGACCAATCAGGAGCAGGATTGAAAATGGACCAATCAGGGATGGGCACCAGTTTTCCCTTGATTGACAGGTCCTCCAGCAACGCTCTACTGGAGCCTCTGCGGGAAGAAAGCTCCCCCACTTGCCCCAACCTGCTGGTTTCTTTGCCCGCTGCTGCCACCAAGACAGAAGTGGCAGGTCCCCCAGGCCCTGCTCGGCTGAGCTGGCTGGGGTGCCACTTTTCCAGTATCAAGGCCAGTTCACCTATATAATACATCATTGTATTTGCAGCTAGCTGATTTTTTAGTAAATGTTCTCTTACCATGACTATATTTTGATTTGATACACATAGTTCAGTGTGCCATGCTGTTCATGTTTCTCAATTTCTCCCATTCCAATTAAAGAAATCAAGTGCTTCCACGTGACAAAAGCTTTTCAAAAGTGAGTGCTGGCCAGGCAGGGTGTCTAATGCCTGTAATCCTAGCACTCGGGAGGCCAAGGAGGTTAGAGCTCAGGGTTTAGAGACCAGCCTGAAGAAGAGTGAGACCCTGTCTCTACTTAAAAATAGAAAAATTAGCTGGGCATATGCCAGGTGCCTGGGAGGCTGAGACAGGAGGATCACTTGAACTCAGGAGTTTTGAGGTTGCTGTGAGCTAGGCTGACACCACAGCACTCTAGTATGGCAAAAGAGGGAGACTCTGCCTCAGAAAAAAAAAAAAGTGAAACTGTTTATACTAATAAAGCTATAGCTTATAAATTTTGTTATTCTTGGTTTTAATTCCTAATTTTTGCTTTTAGTGAAATGTGCTTTGCAACTGAAACTAGGCTAATACTGATTTTTTAATGTATCAAGTATGAGGGCTGTCCAGAAAGTATATAGCCACACAATATGAAAAAGAGATGGACGTGGCTGGGTATTTTTTACAGATAGTCCTCATATATTCCAACTGATCCAAAGAACAAATTCAGGTATTTTAAACTTTACTATAAAAGTTTGGTATAGGTTATCAAAATAACCTATATTTTGATAGGTTAGGGTTTATAGAATCTTTCAGCTTTATGAAAACAGAATATATACTTTATTTGAGGAAAAAAATAGGAAATTAGAATGAATTTCCTCTAATGAAGGGGATTAATTTATAATGTAAGGGAAATATAAAAAAAAAATTTTGCTTGTTTAGGACCTGTGTTGTAAATTCCTTCTGTGTGGCAATGAGGACATGGAATTTATGCTTTAGGAAGTCAATCAGTAGTTTCCAAATTTTTATAACACTGTATGCTATCACTACATGTTATTGTACATATACACTTTCAATATACATTTATATTTAAGTAATTTTATTAGTTTTCCAGGTCTGCCATAATAAAATACCACAGACTGGGAGGCTTAAGCAACAGAAATTTATTTTCTCACAGTTACGGATGCTGGTGGTCTTGAAACCAAAGTGTTGATGGGTTTGGTTTCTCCTGAG